CATCTTAAATCTATTTTATTTTGATATGACGCACAGGTGCATTATCCCGTTTTATTCATTCTAACAGAAAGAACAAACGATCGACATGGAATCGCACCATTCACCCTTCGACATGGAATCGAGCCATTCACCCTTCACACGGAATCGCGCCATTTACCCTTTTGACATTGAATTGCACCATTCACCCTTCGACATGGAATCGTACCATTCACCCTTCGACATGGAATCGTGCCATTCATCCTTCGACATGGAATCGCACCATTCACCCTTCGACATGCAATTGCACCATTCACCGTTTGACATGGAATCGCGCCATTCACGCTACAGAACATGGTGAAACCGACGGAACTGGAAAGGGCTGTACCCGGCGCGTGAGGTTCAAATCGGAATCAGCGGGCCAGCCAGTCCCTCGAGGTCGCACAAAAGCAAGCAGACGGACACAGAGAAAGCGAGCCTTAATTGACTGTTTTCTCCTCCGCATCTCGCCCCACGCATGTACAATCCTCAACAGCTGCTGCCAGAAGTTGAGAATGCCTCCAAGCTGCGCTTCACACCATCAACGCGGGAGAGCGTCATCCCAGTACGTCTTCCGCCAAGACTCTCGTGTCGCTTTAGTGCCTCATCTCGCCAGACAGAGCACTCACCGTCCATCTTGAGGGTATGCACACAGTGCGAGGACGCTTTGGGAGGACGTGGCGCGGTATAATGGCGCCAAACGGAGCCAAATATAGGGTGTTCCACCGACATGTGCGGCCCCGCCGTACAGCAGGCGTGTGACCGCATGTAAATGGCCGCTAGGGGGCTGATCAAGGCATGCATGGGCACTGCTAGGGTCATTAGGGTCTCACAGACGTGAGTTGTTGTGTCATATGATAACGGTAGCAAACGTTGTTTGTTTTACAAAAGAACTTTAGTCCTGGAAAGGTGTGCTTTTAGCCGTAATACAAGGACACCAGCGGAATTGTTGACAAGTTTGTACTTAAGCAACATTTGGTGATAGCTGACATTCTTTCGAAGAAAACAAAAGAAGATATTCGTAAAACCGTAATTTTATTTTTTCGTATTGTGAACAAGTCGGAACTTATCGAATGCCGCGATGAGTTAGTTTCTCTTACAAGCGCTAAGATTCGTACGTGCCGCGATTAAGTCAAGCGACTGCCATGAACTAAGGTCAGCCATATTTCTCAGCACACTTACAGCGCACTTGTCCTCCCTTGAGCCCATGTTGGCACGTGCACCGGAGGTCCCGTTAGAATGACACACCCCAAAAACAGGGCGAAATCGGTGTTCCGTCCTGGGATCTTTGTTTTCGTAACAAATCTTTCGTCACAAATCTTCAGAGAATGATACCTAGAAATCATTTCTTGAATACCAAGTCATGGTGATCATAGGTCAAGAAGCTTTCGTTTCATCGCGTTCACTGACACGCAACATCTCTTGGTCGGTAATGACAATAAGAAATGACCCAGGTCAGAGACAAGAAGACATTTACACAGGCAAATGACAAAAAAGACAACGCACGACGCGTACGTACTGCTGTACTATCATAAGTGTTAAGAGTGCGGGCGAAATGAGGTCAGATCTTCTCGTGCTCAGTGGCAGATGAAAAGTGAGTTAAGATGGGCGGCCAATTCTGAGAACACAGCGTATGGAACTTCCCAGCTACCACCGTCCCCTCGTGTTATTCTGCGAAAAGCACAGCGCGTTTCCGGTGGATGAGGGGTGAAGTAATGAGCTGGTGTCCAAAAATAAATTGAGCAATACCGTTCAACCACAGATGGCTTCCCTAGAATGGTACCGCATATAGGTCTCCTTACGCGGAAGCGTACCTTCATTCGACCTGGAGCGCTCTGAGCAGCTACTCGCTCGCCGCTACGGATAGTCGGCCATCACGGACAACTTAACTGGGCTGTATCTAGGGTGTTGCCAGACGAATTGGTTGTTTCGGGGTGAATAAATATCTTGTTCTGTATTTTAGAGGGAAAATTAAGTCTGGTTTACGGGGAAATCCGTATCGATGCCAGGTAGGAAACATAAGAGGGTGGGGCGAATTCACCTCCCTCCCTCCTCTGTGCGTGTTACGGTGGAACTTCGGCTCAATCATTTCATTGTAAAGAGTAAACGACCCATCAATAGAAATCCCACTATCATGTCAATCAGCTGGGAGTGACGCAACTTGCCACGCGTATAACTCGAAGACAATCTGCCCGTGGGACAAAACACTAAGACAAAACACTAAGGTCAACGAAAGTGTTCTGGGCCGGCATTCGGCTTGGACCACTGAATACCTGGCTCCATTCAGCAGAGGCGCGTATGTCATTATAGTGAGAGGGCAATAACACGCCTTCCTGTAGCAGCAGTCCCGCCTGGTACGTCGTCAATGCGCTGCTTTGACTCCTTCCCACCACACCACAATCACGAAGTCGACTACAAATAAGCCTATGATCGTGTGAGAATATTACCTGATGACAAGAGCATGTGATATTTTTAGGGATTTTATGGCAGTCCGGAGCTTTAAATCGTTAAGACGTTGTTGGCTAATGTGTCCTTCCGATGACCGCGGACACTAAAATTCCTCTATTTGATGCTGTCCGGTATTCTAAGACGAACAATTTCGCCGGGTTTGACCAAAATTAGCCGATGTTGGCAGGCGCTGTAAAACGATGCCATCATAAAAAACTGTTCAATTAAAAGTAACACAACAAGAACGTTTTAGGTTTCACCCGACAAAAATGGGATGCAACTGCCTGGATACATGCGTAATGTCGTGTTTTTCTTTAAGCATAAAATATCGTGTGTTATAATAGATTGTCAACACGTAAGCACGGGTATAATTAGTTATCATAATTGTTATTAGATATTTTGCATAGTGCTTACGTGTTGACAGTCTATTATAACCACATCACACGATATTTTATATTTAAAGAATTCTTAAGCCCAGAGTGTTGCGTGCACCCTAGATATACTGTACTCAAGAAGTGCCTCTACATTCTAATGGACTAGATGTGCCTTCATTTCTTGGTCAGACAGGACCGGAGAACATTTTTAGTGCTGTGGAGTGCAATGTTACGGGTGCCCGGAGCGAGGTTGAACCTCCATTCGGTTGCCAGCTGATCGTTCTGTACATGGTCTGGTCGAACAGACTTCTATCATTCTCTCCAGGACTCGAACTCAGACAGAGTGAAGCAGCATCCGCCCTACACGCTCTCGGTATGTAGTTAACTCCAGCTAACTGCGCGGAAGTGAGCTTCCGTCCCTTGGGGCGGGATGGATTTAATCTAACTGGCAGCCTTTCGCACAACGATACTAAATGTGAAATATGCAGCACAAAACCAACAAATGCTCGGGACCACCGGCGCTAACGTGCGGCAGTACTTGGCGGGCCGCCCGACTGACCTGGATATCCAGGTGACGCCAGAACACAGGAGTCCTTCAGGGCGCAGTCCGTGTCCTGGTACAGCCAGTCGCACTCTGAAACAAAACTCGCCGTGAGCACCGAGAACGTGTCGGCGTCAAGCTGCTACAATGCATGGTTTCGTCAATGTTGATACGTGAAAGTGAAATAGTCACCGGTCCTACCTGCCAGCGCTTCTGTGTCAGGGGGGGGGGGGGAGGAGTGGAGCACAGGCGTAACGCCCCTGCTATGGATCCTTGCGCGGCCCGGCAGTGTGAACTTGTATCGCACCCTGTTTATTCCGGCCAACCACAAACCAAACGCAGGAGGTCGCATACCCACCCCACCTCCCCACACCACACTCGCCATCACCCACAGCTCCTGCTTTATCCCTTAGGCCAAATTCTGGTGACACCCCTGTCGCACCTGCATAGTGACATAAAACACAAAGCTGGATCGTTTTGTGAGCGATGAAGATCGGAGAAGGGCGGGGGAGGCAAAAACACCTCTTCCCCAACTCGGCCACACTTCAGCTTTTACCTTTGCGACGTGTGGAAGGAAACGGAGGAAAGTCGCAATCAACCGATGCCCCACAAAGTTTTCGGATGGTCGGCCGTTATTGCGGTCACTCATCAGCAATTTTGCTGCATTAGAATATCATAAAGTTTATTGCCATAATGCATCCGTATCTAGACACCATCTGTGGGAAGCGTACACCATTATATCTATCCAGAACACATGCATTCGTATGTTGCCGATGAGCTCAGTTCTTATCGACTGCAATACCATGTAAAATTTCACCTCCCTTCTCAACCAATTTTGGCTCAGCCGGAGGAAGTCCTTTCTAAGGCATAAACTTCTTTTCTTGATCAAGCGGTGTTCAAGACCGCTCATCGAGCAACGGATCCACAATATTTCACGTATGATTGCACTGTCACGACAAAGTTTGAGAAAAGGTATCCACCACACCGAACTACGCACAACAGAAATGTCGCCGTAATTGTTTAGCGGAAACAATTTAAAAACTTGAAACAGAAGTCAGTTTTCTTATTGTGTTGCAAGTGATGACCGATCTATAATTCTAATAGATATATAATAAATACATAATAACACGTTTCTTTTCATGTCATACTACAGTGCTGATCTGAAACTGAAAAAGTTGTATTTTGACCTTGCGTACACCCTGCGATGGGTTCCCCAGTCTGTTATAAGCATGTCTGAAGCAAACACAGACAATGCAGGATCAAGTAGATATGCGCAAGGTTAGATTTAGCACGCCTTTTGAAAACAGACATTGGTATGCTTTGATCATAGGTGGACGTAGGCTAAGTAATTTAAGTAATCTATGAACGAAACAATTTAAAAAACCTTTCAGCCGAAATGTCAAGCAAATATTCAATAAAACAATTAACCGGCACCCAAGCCTACTTCTTTTTCATATTTAACATTCCCTTAGATATTCGGGTGACCACCCATTGCCCCCGCATTGAAGATATTAGCGTATTTACGGATTTTAGTAGAATCCATTGGGTTATCTGCTGACGTAGGCCAGGCAAGCCTGCCTCCTCGACTCGCTGTCAAAGGTCCGCATCAGGCATCAAGGGACTGCTTTCTAAGCATGAGAAGCTTTGGGACTCAAATCTGAACCGAATCGCAATTCGAAACACCGAACTACTAGGCCTCAAAGACACCACCGTCAAATGAAGCCCCATGATTACTACACCTTGGAAAAAGCTTGGATTTGCCCTTGTTGCAAAGCATTATGAGGAAGCGGTCCATTGAATAGTCAGAATCACGCTATTATATATGAACTCGGACTTCACAATGCAAACCTCAAATATCCCCCTCAGCAAGAAATTGTCAGCAAGAAATTATCAGCGTCTGCTCGTCCGTATCACACGATCGGGATAATCCACCTCCAGACCACCACCCCAGCCCTTGGCAACGGCTCGGCGGCCGACCGCAGATCCGCGCCAAGCAGTGTGACCGCCGGCGTTCCAACCCAACAATGCCTGAGGCGCCGCGTGAAAGAGCCGCTGCCGCCGCCGCCACCGCCGGCGGCGCTAGATCCCGCAATTAGCCGCGGCCGCTGTGTCGGGGCTCGTTCACCACCGGCCGGCGCGGCAGTGTGCGCTCATAGAGGTCGAATCGTGGCGACCCGGAGATTGCGCTGGGAGGAGACGGTGTGTCTGGTCCAGGCTCGCCGCTTGTGGAGGGGGGGGGGGGGAGGGGGTCAACTGGTGCCCTGAGTACCCCCTCCTGTTTGGGGCAGAGACGGTCTTCTGATTTCAATGGTTTGACATTCCGAATCAACAGCTCCGCACATACCAGCACCATCTGGAGCTGTCCCGAGTTTACTGGCCCCACGGGTGCCAAAGCCTGGTGACGCTTCTGGCCAAATGCCAGTCTGAATTGTTCGTGTTCCGCGCTCAGACCGATGGAGCAGCAAGCCAATTTTTAGTCTTAAGTCTTCGCGGAATAGGGGCGAAAACTGTCACGTTACGGAACGGGTTGGTGGTAGAGCAGGCTTCAAGACTCCTAAGCATTTAGGAAAATTTAGGGTTAGATTTACGGTGGCACAAATAAAGACACAACTGAAAATTATGAACCCCAATCGTGAATAAATTTCATCTCTGCTGCTTGGGGGTGCGAGAAGCGCCAGGGACTCGGATTTGGATATGTGACCAGACATCGAGGGCCAGAGCTTATGGTATTCGGCATAACGACTTGAAAGTTGAAACACCATGATCCAGTTTGGTCCAGGCCGTATTCACCATTAGTGAATACGACCTGGACCGTATTCACCATCAGTAAATCGCCACGCGCTGACCCGGTGTCGCTATTCGTCTGCGCCTCTTTCCCCACCACCTAAAGACACCACTCTCTCGAAGCATCCACGTCACCACCTTGAGGCCACACTTCTCTCGTGCCCCGCACGTCGCCACCTCGTCCTGCCATTCGCGCGCGCCAGCTCACGTCAGTGGGTGTATCGCAATCCTCCTGGCCCCTACCATCATCACTTTGGGGCACTGTTCTCGTGTTGTGTCATCAGCTGGTGGCGCTGTTCTCGCGTTATGTCACCAGCTGGTGGCAATGTTCTCACGTTATGTTGCCAGCTGTGGGAACTGATCTCTTGTGCCGCTCAAGCCTCGCAAACCTTTCGCATCTCTCCACTGTCTTTTCCTGCATCTCACCACTTTCACCTTGTGTATTTTTTGGCAATCCTCTCCCGTCTCTCGCCACTTGTCCCTCCTTTCACCTCTCGTCACTCTCCCCCTCTCACCTCTCACTGCTCTCACCTGTGTGCGGTACGGGCCGACCGCCGCGGCTGCGGACCCCCACGTGCGGGCTGTTCCGCGGGGAGAAGCTGAAGAAGGCCATGAAGAGCGACCGCTCCGAGCGCTCCAGCACTCTGCAGTGGCACCACGTCCAGTCACCCAAAGCCATCAGGTCTCGTGAAAATCACTACGCTGGACTAAAAATTCGCTATTTCACACACCTTGGGCGAGATTCATGGCTGGGGGAGTTGAGATCGTAGAAGGTTATCTGTAATGCCGTCTAGCTCACCAGCCACAGGAGGCAATTGAGGTAAACGCATTCAAAGTGTTTGTAGCGATATGCTCAGCATGTAAAAATAATACAAGCACCAAGCAGCAATGCAGTGACTTCGCCAACCGAGCCAGCACGGCTTGGGAAAGTAAGACACAATGTCAGTGCATCACGAGGTGACCCATAACTCCAATGCTCATGCGGTAACTCATGGCGAGTATTCAGGACGTGTTATTTCCACTGCTATCTATTCACTCAATTCGTTTAAAGATTTTCCACGTGGTGGCTTTTCTACGCCCCGTCGGTTTCATACAAGAACGATGAAACATAAAGGAATGCGAGAAACACATTTCTAAGGTAGGTCTAGACACACACGCATATTAACAGTCACACTGCTCACTCAAAAACTCAAGGAAAGCGCGCCGTGATCGAGCAAGGGCGGCCGCCGGGTACAAGCAGCTTCATGCGGCAGCCTTCCGGTACGGTGCGGTCACTTTGAGATGGCTCGAGGAATTTCGAACATGGAGAGGTTTTCGAAAGTTTTACCGGAAGATATAAAACGTGCCTTTGACTCGAACCAGTATTTACTTATCAGAGTGCCTCTAAGCCTCCCAACTACGTTAAAAGCTTCGATGTTTCTGTCAGCGCGCCGGTAGGTGACAATGCTCATTTGCTGTTGCAAGAGAAAATAGGGAAGCAATAACGTCTTCATAACTGGATATTACGTTCTTCTTTCCATCTATTATGCTGAACATCCAAAAGTTAAAACCGCATACGGAGAAGTTTTTTATCCGTCGCTTTTCGGCCTATGGCCACGAGGCGGTTGTCCACATCAAGACACGCGCAAAAAACAGAACGCAGCAGAGCAGACCAAAAAGTCCTTGTCATCAGGCGGTGTACTCTCGTGTCTACTCAGGCGATGCCGCCATAACACTCGCCAGACGAGACACATAAGTTATAGGTCATAGGTCATAGGTCATGGGTTATAACGTTGATCCCGTCCTCTGCATCTCTTGCTGCCTGAGGCGGTTCGAGCGCATCATTGACAACGGGCTACACTAGGACCTCACCTGGACTCCACCACGGCTCAGTCCGTGTGCAGCAGCAGCGTGGCCGGGGGTTACAGTGGGACCTCACCTGTACTCCAGCACGGCTCGATCCGTGTCCAGCAGCAGCGTGGCCGGGGGTTACAGTGGAACCTCACCTGTACTCCAGCACGGCTCGATCCGTGTCCAGCAGCAGCGTGACCAGAGGTTACAGTGGGACCTCACCTGTATTCCAGTACGGCTCGATCCGTGTCCAGCAGCAGCGTGGCCGGGGGTTACAGCGGGACCTCACCTGTATTCCAGCACGGCTCGATCCGTGTCCAGCAGCAGCGTGGCCGGGGTTTACAGTGGGACCTCACCTGTATTCCAGCACGCCTCGGTCCGTGTCCAGCAGCAGCGTGATCAGAGGTTACAGTGGGACCTCACCTGTACTCCAGCACGGCTCGATCCGTGTCCAGCAGCAGGGTGACCGGAGGTGAGAAGCGGCTGTTCTCCCCGCACACCTTCAGACTTGTCTCTGAAGAGGCGTTGAGTCGGGTGCCTGGCAGGAAGGTCAGGCCGCCCCCGGTACACCTGCGCCGGTCGGCGACGGGTCACAGACGCCTGGGTGTGGGATGCGGACTCCGGGGTTGGGGGGGGGGGGGGGCGGACCGCGAGAGTGCGCGACGCAGGTCGTGCGCTGGGCCACCCCTGGACTGGACGTGCGACATAAGCCGTTAGCAAAGCGAAAGGTAGGTCAAATGATCTTTAGAGTTAAACGCACAACAACAGTACTCTAAAGCTGGCTGAGTGGATGGCATAAACTAAGGCATTATTTATTACACGCAATGCTGAAAAAACACCCTACCAACACTAACAAGACAAAAGTTGTGCGATTTCATTCAAAATAGAATATGCAGCAAGCTGCATGCTTTTCTTTAATATCCCTGTTCTATATGTTCGTTATTTTGTTGTCATTTGATGTCGTTTTATGTTTGGTTATCTTATATGAGCAACACATATCCTTTTAGAGCTGTTTTCAGGAGGGCTCACTGCACTGAATGTTTTAGAATACCTTTAAAGGGGCTTACATAAATAGCTGTGTCAACACTTTCTTCATAGACTGTCTAACCCATGAAAAAGGTCCCAACAGCCCGTAGGTGAACTTTTTGGGACAAGAAGAATATACTCAATGACCCCGCGATTTTTCTAGGAAAGTGACTGCATTTTCTATTCTTTCCTAGGTTTTCAGCCCAGTGACTGCTAGTGGTTGGATTTATCTATAGCCGTAGCGTAGGCTGCAAAAGACAGCAACCGCAACCATCCAACAAAAGTATGACGTCAGACGAGGATTATGAATAATTATCCGCACTGCTCATCTTTCATCGTTTCAAACCTAATGAGATCTGGCGGGTCAAATAACCGGCTGCTCCATTTGCGGTGGAATATGCAAATTAACAGCGAAAGGCTGTGAAAAACAAGCCCACCAAAACGCAGCAAATACGGCCTCTTGAACAATGCAGAAAATGTTGTCTCCATTCATCAACACACATCTTTCTTCGTTATTTAAAACGTTGGCAGACACCGCGGTGGCTCACAGCTACCGGGCTAACACTAAGCAATTCGTTAACAAAGCGATTGAGAACAAGATAAAGGCTGATGATAAGTCACAACCCGTCTTTTACGTAACAGGGCTCCGTGGCTGCTGTTGTTACCATTTGCGTCGCGATCCTCATTTTATGCTAGTTTTACGAGAAGGCGTAAAAATATAACTGTTTCGAAACGTATCAGCATATTTCACACGCAATTTCAAACTACAGACGTAGGGCTACATTTACGAAGCATGAAGACCAGCGGTACAACGGCTCATATGTCAACGGTCGACGCCTGAGAGAGAGGAGATGAGGAGTCGGGACTGCAGCAGGAGAGAGAGAGAGAGAGAGAGAGAGATCGACGAGAGAGAGATAGATGAGAGAGAGAGAGAGAGAGAGAGAGAGAGAGAGAGAGAGAGAGAGAGAGAGAGAGAGGGAGAGAGAGAGAGAGAGAAAGAGGAAGAGAGGGAGAGAGTGAGAGGGAGAGTGTGAGTGGGAAGGAAAGAGAGAGAGAGAAACTGTAGACTTAGCTGCCCCACAGGATGGTTAAAGCTCCTGTACCGGTTCTATTTGCGAGTGAAGTAAAGGCAAATGTTGTAAGTCAAAAGCTCGTATTTGGCAGCGTGTTACTCCATCACTTTCACCAAGACACTTTGTACAATAATGCCCATACGCTCGACCAGCACCAGTAGAAGTTCAGCTCTTTACTTTTGGAATCTGCGTTTTGTGTATGAGACCATTTGAATCTAATCGGCAGCATAAGACTCGCTTTATAGAATGCCTTCCAACGGTTACGATTTAGTCACGTGGTACGGAAATGATGTTATGGTAAGAGATGATTAATCAACAAGGTATGTATACAGCACCGTGCCAGGAGCGGGACTAATTGCGCTAAATAAATTAGGGAGAGCGAGATGGCTTTGTAACTTCCTGTGCTGGTGGATAGAACAAAGGAAATGCAAGACGCTGAGGTGATAATTCCCGTTGAAGTAGAGGATTGCATAACTGACAGCAGCCCATCTGTGAAACTACGTTTTTGTCCAACGCTGGGCGACTCCTACGACTCCATGGATTCCAGGAGAGTCGAATGTCCCAGACGCCTTGGTTTGAGCGGAATTATTCCAGGCGTCACATAAGCCACGAACTTGTGATGTGGCACAGTACCCCGCGTCACGTGTCACGCGGCACAGTCTACTCCGCTGCACGTGTCACGCGGCACAGTCTACTCCGCCGCACGTGTGATGCGGTACAGTCTACTCCGCGGCACGTGTGATGCGGCAGTCTACCCCGTGGCACCTGTGATAAGACAGTTTGCTCTGCGGCATGTGTGATACGGCACAGTCTAAGCGGCCCGGCATGACGTCACAGTGAGGTCTGGACCGCGCTCGCGACCGTTGGGTTATGCCAAGTGGCGTGGCGTCAGCCACCAATGACACTTGTAGTGCACACAAGCCCCCACACATACCTTGATACCCTATGCATGCTATATTTAGTACACATGAGCGTAGTCAGCAGCTATTCTATCTTATCCAATAGATACCGCTGATTCGTGTTGAATATCATGCACGTGACAACTTCACTGTATCAAATGAAGATGGCTCAAATTCTGCGCGAAGAACGAGTCGAGCAAGGACATGACCATTAATTATTTCACCATTCAAATGAAAAATGTATATGCCGGCAAAATGGGTCATAGCCAGCATGAATCAACCCAGATGCTATGGGACAGGCCCGGGGTCCAGCGCTGCCACAACCGTGCCGCTTCTACACCTTGCGATTCACTAAAGAGTTGGGGGAGACAGGGAGGGTAGGGCGGAGAGCGGTTCGCCAGTTGTGTGCGGTCGCCTGCTACGCTCGATGTTTTCGGTTCACCTACCCGTTTTTCCACTTGCCAGAACGCACCATCCTGTAGACTTGTATCTCAATTCTTGCTCCCAGCTCGCCTCGAAAAATGTACCTGGAACGGCAACCAATCCATCCAATTCAAGGGAACGGCAACCGATCCATCCAATCCGAGCCGTCTCCACGAAACAATACAATCTCGCTCTCGCCCTCGCTCTCCATGCAATCGCATCTCGCTCGAATAAAAAATAATGAAAACAATATCATGCAAACTAACCGACTCAGCCCCATCTCCATGCGATGAGCTTTATTTGAACAATATGCTGAGGACGGATTGTAATCAAACTTCGCGCATTCTTTTGCATCTCTGTGCTGTGACTTGCCGGTCCAAACGCAGACACCCGTGTACAAGACATTTATGAGCAGTGAATGATGTAGAAAACTGAAAATGTCTTTCATCTACTTCATATGAAGCAAAACATTGCAATGCTCGTAGTAGTACTCTACTTTCACCCCACATCGTGATAATTGTGCTCACTCTAACAATAAATACACTAGATGGAAGACGGATGAAGGATGTGAGAGGTGCGTGGGGTGAAATGCAGCTTGGTTGCAATGTTAAAATGGGTACAAATAATATTAACTGCCACTCTTTACCCACGTGTTGGTGCTTGGCACCAGCCCTGTGACGTAATTACTAACCTTCGCATCAGTTACATCCTGCTGCGATGTCGAAGCCGCTTCCCACCAATAAGAAACTAGCATGCACAAATTCAGTAGCAAAATTAATGTTGGGTTATTATGGCCTTACTCTCGTTACGTGTCAGCTACATCAGCCGATGGCAAACGCTGCTTTATGATGTATTTTACATGATGAACTTTTTCAAAAAAGCAGCGGTCTTCGACATTGCGAAATACTCGACGAATTGATGCCCTTAAAAATGTTGGGTTTGTCTTGACGTATCTCTCACGAATCACATTTGGGATCTTTCCTAAGCAATTTAACGGTACACGTTTTCGCCAGAGTACGCTTCAGACACGTGTCCGGGTTAAAGGGAATATTTCACATTTGTAGATGTGAAGAAAGCATTATATTTGGTAAAACAAGTTCAGTTATAACCACAGGTAGGCTTTTCAAGTGGGGAAGACTGCTCTAGACAGCACAATTCTCTATCTAGTAAATATGCTCCTCAAAGCGTCATGATTTGCTTACGTCACCGCACCTATAACAACATTGATTGAGAGCCAATTGAAGGCCGTTATATCTGGAAATCGCGCTCACGAGGGCCAGATTTGAATGCCTCGACAATCATATTTGTTTACCTTGATCGCCGCATGGCTTCTGGAATGGCAGCATTTGAATGACGCTGTTATGACGTCATGAATGCCGAGGTGACTTTGAAATACTCACCCGATATACCTTTCCCCATTTTCGTGGGCGTACAGCTAAGAAACTAGGGCGTTTAAGTCTTAAGAGCGGCAGGATGAGTACCCTTCGTTCGGATGGGGATAAAAGAGGGGGCAATTCGACCCCCTGATATATGAAATTCCAAGAAACCTAGAAACACCAAATTCTCAAGGCAGGTTGTTCGGTATGTGAGCTCACAAGTTTAAACTTGAGGTCCATAAGCTCATGACGTTTGGATCAAAAAACGTCAAACATCGCCAAAACAAAGAGCGTATTTAAAGTGCATTCAGACCTTCTTATGAAACCGCCTTAAGCCTGGATACCTGTTCTTAACAGGTGATCGCTGGTGTCCGTTTTAAGTAAGCGACCTGGTTTGATCTTAAGAAGGTCACGGTGACCAAAAACCTATGAGATTGCTTTTATTTTTGAATTCGAATATGCGTTATAGATTGCGCTAAACGGCATGTTCCCAAAAACAAACAATCGGTTAGAGTAATTTTACGCCAGCGGCCAACTGTGACCTTTAAGAAATCCATAGAAGATGTATGTGCCGGTTCTTGTTATCATGAAATTCGAAATGAGCATCAAAAACTTCCCCAATAATCAAGCACACCAGTCAAACATAGGCTGGTTTGACCTCGGCCTGGTCTTCATACCCGATTCTACGTGCATGGAATATATTGTCATCTTAAATCAATTGCTTGATTGTCTAGAGAACTATCTCAGAGATGCATGGATTCGTCTAATATTCCATTGTTGTATCAATTGAACGATTTCCTGGATATTGCCTTCGATGCCAGCCACGCCCTGACTTTGACTTGCCATAGGTCAGCGACCTTTCAAGGTACATCTCATGTGTTATGCCAAAGGATCCACTGAATAATTTCCTAAGGTTATGGAAAGCTTGTTGCAGCTACACCACGCCGTTAAAGAATGAGTTTTTGAAATCCTTTGGGAGGGGTTAGGCAGATTGAGTCCCGCCGGCCCGGGCAGGTGTTAAGTGAGAGTTGAGACAAGTCACCATATTCCATTGCCCTGGCTGAAAAGGTTTGCCGATGAAATAGTAAAACCATTGTGGGCAGGAGGGAAAAGGGCGAATGATCATCTGACATGAAAGGTGGGTTAATAAACAGCGACAAATCTGCGCCAATCATACAAACATAGCTTCCCAAGCATCGTCGAAGACATCGAAACTTCTTATGATTCGAAAGGTGCCCATCGTATACAGTCAGGAAACCTGGAAGAAACATCAAACGAAGCCCGGTCTTATATCCTGTTCCATTTCAAAGAGTTTGATTTTCGGTTACACGCAGGAGAACATGAAGATACGGTTCTTTAATAAGTTAATCTTTTTCTTCGGAAAATGTGTTTGTTGGCAGCATTTCCATTGCCTGATTCTCGCCACATCAATCTGAAAAAAATGCTGAAACCCCACCAAGACCCCACTTCGGACCCACATTGTTGTTCACCACTGGCGACAAATAGAGGAGCCGCTGCACGCGTCGGCGAGCGGCAACTTTTCCAGACTTGGCCACGCTGTTTGGTTAGCGGCCACGGCGCATCACATACTGGAACGGCCGAAAGTTTTTGACAGGCGCGACTGAACCTGACAGCTGTGTCGGGGTCCGCTATGCTCCGGCGCACTGTTACAGTCAAAGAAATTGATGCTGTCTTCCTGCCTCAAGAAGCCGACATGATTGCCGAGTCCATAAAACGAACGTGAGCAGGTCTTGTTTGAAGCGAATAGCGTTATGGACAATCTGAACGCTACTTTTTGATGGCGAAAACGTCCGGCATCATTGCACGGTAGCTAAAATTGGAACCTCGCCATCGATGAGTGTCGGGCATTGGATGATGAATCAACAAGGAAAATACTATCCGCTGAAGATAATAAGCAGCGACCAGAATGAGAGGCGATCATAGCATGCATGCAAGCAGAGAACACCAATGACAATGACTGGGTCTTACTGAGCCTGCAACAGTTCCCAAACAATCTGCTTGAATTATGCCACTCTCAACAACACAACCCGGCAGATTGGCTCAAGGAATACATGACATGGAGACATGAAGAGATAGCGTCGGAGATGAGTCAGAAGATTGACGAATAGGCTTTACCAACAATACACTGGTCCTGACAGCACCGGCGTCTTGATCTGGCCGTATTTCTTCCCGGACGAAGACTCCAGGATCTGACTGTCCAACGTAATATTGCACACTGAAAAGGCAAACGCTTTGTTAGAACGTTGTAGTGACGCTGCGGTCTTCAACAGATGAAGCCTGAGACCATCCCTGAGTACCGCACGACGCCAAAATATTTCACGATTTCTCAGATTTATAGCAATGAAAAGTCAACAGGTTTCATCGCTCTAGCTGGAAGGATTAAATTGACATAGGAGAACCATAGCTCCTCCACAACGGTTGCTTCGTGGAATACGGCCAGACAAAGTTTCTTCATTTTGGGAGGGCTCCATTTCATTGTTTACAGTCTTTCAATTATTTAACTACTCAGTCGATTTGCCATGTCCAGTCGTCTGGTGTCGCTTTTGATCAAGATGGGCCTGTCACCATCCTGATTCATTACAGCTGAGACCAGCTCACCAAATCAAAAGTGAGCCACCGTCTTCGCAACGCTGCAATACATTGAAACACCGTTTTCATTCCATCGCAGCACCGCGATTGCGTTGTTCTGGCTGTCTTCCTCTACGCTTCAATCATCTCGGGAAGAAGCCAAGCCCGCCAGTGCCTAATTTGTTTGCCGCTGCGCTGGCTGACCAAGCAGCCACCAGCTGCTGCCCGCCCTAATGAGCACGATAAATAGATACCATGCATCTGCACAGCTGCACAAGACAAATTGCGCACTGCAAATGACTTCGCATATTAGAAAAGAACGGGCGATCCAGATTTAAAGAGGTAGTATGAATACCCAGCTCGGAATCTGACGACATCGCGCGATCCATCCACCCTTCATTGCAATGCCACTTGCCATACCAAACGTTGTTAGAATGAATCAGCAATGCAAGTTTCGTGGGTGCTCACCATAAGTTGTATGCGAAAATGGCATTAACACGCCATAAATGACTTGGAGGCATCGAGAAAAACCACACCAGTGACGTGTGAAGTACGAATACCGCCCTCACTAGAAATTCAGTTTGGAGCACATCCCAGACCCGCAGTCATAGCAGGCGTATCACCATGCCCAACCCTATGCCAGCACCAGGGTTCGGCGGCCGACAGCTGAACATAAAAGTCTGCTAGCAGCCGGCTCTCTGATCTAGTTGCCAAGTGCTGGCCTCGCCTTCACATCGGCTGGTAAACAGCGGACATCATGGGGTCCAGGCACGCCATGTGGGTCCCAATCGCCCTAAAGGCTTTCATATTTTCCCGATATGAAGAGAAACCTTCACCACGGGTGGCTGTGTCGTGATGAGTGTGACCTATACGATCCCTTAGAGACCCACAGCTCCGTTCAGCTTCGTTACTGTGTAAAAATACTCCACAGCTCGAACTTCAGTTGGACTGCGAGATCAAGTTCCGAAAAGCGGACTCTGCTTAGTCCACACGTCAATCTCGTCTCAGTCCTTTTTCAAACACCGGGAAGAACTCCTGTGCTTCAAAACTGCAACAGGCAGCATCTATGCGACACAGCGTGACTACTCCGCGGACAGTCCTGAACTCCTCACAGAATGAATACGCCGCGGACGGTGTCGAGCTCTTCACGGCGTGACTACGCCACGGACGGTGCCGAGCTCGTCAAGGCATGTCTACGCCACGGACGGTGC